ATGGATAATTAGGAACTCTAAAGATAGAATATATTTAAATAATATTATATAAAATAATTACCTCCTATTATTTTTGACAAAGATTTGATTAATTATAAGTTCGAAAAATTTATGCCAAAATAGTCAAATAATTATTAGGTGTGATATAATTTTAATTAAGATTCTTTATTTAATATTTGACAAATAACATCAAAGATTTTTAGATAGTTAATTAGCCGGAAGTAAAATTGAAATAGGTAATTTGCTTATTTCTATGTTTTTTGATAAATTTTAGCTGTCATTGTATTAGTCCAACCATGAGTAATGCAATGTTAAGAGAATTGCGCTGAAAACTCTAGGGGGCAAAGAGGCAAATGTTTAGAATAAAGTTAGGGTATGATTTTATCAACTAAGAAGTCTAGATTATGGTTTAAGCTATTCATTTTTATATTCTCAGTTAATTCGAATTATAAAAACCTAATATGCTTCCTAAAACTATATTTTAGAGTCATTTTTTAGTGTCGCCAACTTTTTAAAACGTTGGTTGTTTGTAAAACAATTAATTCAATGCAAAAAGGAATGTTAAAAATAATAATTGAAGTTATGAAATAAGCCCGATTTTTTGATCCTATGTAGCTAATTAAATTCAAATCATTGTTAAATAAATGTGATTAATTTATAGAACTAATTTTCACAAATCTAAAATGGCCATGGCGATGAATTTATTAAAACACAATTTTAAAAATTATAAATCTAGGGTTAGCCAATAAAAACCAATTTGATAAAAACAGCATAGTCAAAGATAAAAATTTAGATTATATTTTAATTACTATGTATATAAATAATTGTTAATTTTAAAATCTATGTTGTGAGAATTATTTAATTTTTCATATTAAAATAAAATATAAAACTTAAACGAATATATATACTAGAGATTAGCAAAACCCCACTAGTTAAAATTATTCGCCCAAGTGGCCCAGCCTGTTTTTAAATGTTTGGATGACTCGCTAATTTTTTTTATAAAACGCCTGGCCAGTTAAAATTGAAGGAAAACGTTAAATTTTTTAGGTGAATTTTAAAGCCAGCACATTTTAAATGTCTATAACCATATCTATTTTTTTCAATTTCTATTAAGGCTTTTATATTTCTACTTTATACAGCTATATCTCTTTCTATAACAACAATTTTGTCAATTATGTTTTAATATCAGTATTGTGTATTTGTAAATAGATCATATCACAAATAACTTTGTTAATTTTTTGTGAGTTTAATATTTTATTTATAGATTTAGTATTTTGGTTGGATAGCTCTTAAGATATAAAGAATTAAGCATATTGTAATTTAATTTCAAATAATATTAATCAAAATATTAGTTTGAAATTTAAAAAAATATATCAAAATTTTAATGCCCAGGTTGGCCCATTAAAATTTTATATAAAAGTATTTTTAATATATGAATTGTCTAGCATAGACAGTTTATTTTTTCTGCATAAATTCCAACCCAGCCCATTTAATTTTTTGACAAACTGGGCCATTATAATTTTTTAAACAATTTACCTGCTCAAGCTAGCAGGCTGAGCGTTGTATATCTCTACTATATAAACATTTTTCTTTAAAAAATATTGCTCATATGGTTAATGTCGAATGCTAATAATTCGTGTTAACCCTTTAATACTCCAGTGAAAAAAATGACGTTAGTACTTGGGTGGGGTATAATAGACCCCAATTTCAAATGTATATATCTCCAGTAATATTCATTTGCTATTTGGATATAAGAAAGATCTAACCTTAAGCTTGATAAAATATATTTCTTAAGCCCTAGATTAAATATGATGTGGATAATTATAATTTGTGCCAAAATTTTTAAAATAGCTACCTTTTTTAAATTTCAAATATAAAATTAAAAAAATAACTTATCCATCATATAATCATGATAATTCATAATATGGATCTTTATTCTTCAATATAAAAAAAAATTACACTAATACATTCAAATATAAAAAAAATATAGAACATACAAATTTAATCTGGTGGGGTCTCACAAACTCTAATCAGTCTCAAATGTTTATATCTTATAAACTACTCAACCGAAATATATGAAATTTGGAATATAGATTCTAAGATATATTTGATGAAGCTACTGAAGAATCCAGATTATAATATTTAACCGTTTTATGTAATATCATTTCTAGCATGCCTGGGGTTTCATACCCCCCCCCCCAGAGTATTGAAGGGTTAAACAGCTCGATTTGAGCCGATTTTTAAAAACGGCTAACTCAACATTATAGCCAGGAAAATATTCTAAACATGGAGATTTCACCAATAGATGTTCAATCCTATGTGCCATCGATGAGCAAAATCTTTAGACTTGCATAATATTTTTCTGGATAAAATATTGAGTTAGCCGTTTTTATAAATCGGCTCAAATTGAGCTGTTTAACAACACTACTAAAAATGCCTTTATAATAAAAAATTGAACAGTTTGTAAAATTAAAAAATAACATTCCAAATAATAATTAACCTCTATATTGGTATGGTATTTGAATATATTTAAAAAAATATATAATTCTTTAATAATTCATAAGTTTGGAATGCACTCCAAATTATGAGACTCTTTAAACTGAAGTTGATGATAAGGATAATATAAAATAATAGTTTTATTTACCCCGAAATAAATATTCCAACACTAATCATCATATTGAATTGGTTTAGCTATACTTATTATTTCATCTTAAAAAAGAATTTTATTAACCCTATATATTAATCTTATAGACAAATCACCTTCATACTAATCTATCTTAAATATTACGACAATATAAAATTTTAAATTACTTTAGAATGAATTGAGCATTAAGAAATTTTTTATTGTAAAATAATCATAATAGGTTTTAAATAATATGTTTAATTATAAAAACCACATGGCAGCATTGTGCTTGATATATTTGAAGATGCTTTTTTTTGAAGTGTCCACAGATAGTTGTCGTCATATGCATCAATTTTGATAGGCAAACAAATAGATTTGGGAAAATTTTCCCTTTCTTCCAATGGGTGTTCCCTAGAATATCTCTGATATCCATATAAGAGGTTTCAAAGTGATGAAAAAATCATACATTTTGACGTATTCATAATTTTTACAAGCAAAGTATTCTAATTCAGAAAATAATGACAATGGAAGTAATTTTTTTTTAGAAAATATTTTTTTAATAAAAATAAATACTAGTAAAAAAATTATATACAAGTGTATCTAAATATATAAATTTGGATATTTGTCAAATACACTTAGTAATAAATAGGAGTGTAGTATTCCTGGGTTAAATGGGTCAGCCCTGTGTTGAACTTTCAGATAGACAATATATTTCATTGCTAGTTAGGTCTCCTTATCTTCTAAACCAGCATATTCCAGGTTTAGAAAATTAGATCACAAATATGCCAAAGTTGAATAATATGATTTTGATATATTTAAAGGATGGGTTAGTGTTATAAAATAAGAATTTTAGCTAACTCCAAAATGGCTGTGGCCAAAACTAGTTAGTCAAAAATTAGGCATTGTCTAATGAGCTCAATCAGCATTACTATAAATAAAATAATTATACATAAATAAAATAATTATACATAAATAAAATAATTATACATAAATAAAATAATTATACATAAATAATATAATTATACATAAATAAAATAATTATATATATATAAAAAAATTATATATAAATAAGTTCACATAATATAAATATTCAATAATTATGGCTAAGCTTAGTTTTCATAATTGTGGTGAACATTTAGCTGAGTTCCTTAGCCAATGCCTAATTTTTGACTAATTAGTTTAAGCCAATTTTAAAGCTAAGCCTAATTAGGCTTAGGCAAAGTTTTTAGCCAATAACATTTTACAGACAGTAACACCCTATGATAATAAATTAATTTAAATAATAAACTTAATCTTTTTAATTTTGTCAAATCAATATATAAGCATATAAAGATGATTAGCTTTGCATTATTTTATTTGTATGATCTTTTACTAACAATTGATTCACCTCAGGCTCAAGAAAACAGTCACCTATTGATTAAAACATATTTATTATTTACAATTTAAAAAGAACAAATAGAATGAGAGAGAATTTAAAAACATCTTGATTTAAAGGTTGCCACAAATGATTTAAACAATACTCATAATAAATTTTTCAAAAAATGAGGAGATAAATGAGTGAATATTTCCTTATGCACTTTGACTAAATACATGAGGACACTGAGTTGAGAAATAGCAATAGCAAAAATTAAGATAACTGTCATCATTTTTTTAGTATAAATAAATTTAGTTTAAAAGTTTTTTTTAAAATATAGAAAAAACATAATATTAGTTTAAAAAAAAATATGGACTGATCTTCTTTTGATAATTGAATGTTTTAAGGGTGTTAGTTCCAATATTTTCATTCCTGACTTAAAAATATTTTATTGCCTTTTATATGCATTTTGCACAATGTCTTTTAGGGCTAAGAATGTTCAATCTCCACTTTCCAATTTTTATACTGAAAAATATTCCAAGCAAGAATTTTTTATCAAAACTACGATAACACATTCTTGATGAATTTCTGTTAATTTATCTTGTCTATTTTTTTTTAAACTGGGATAAGTTTTTATTTAATTATTTAAAAGAAGTTCAAGCTAATAAAAAATTTATTCCTTAATTAAAAAAAAGTAACTATCTGTTATTATGACAAAGATATTAATGATTTTTATTTTAATTATTCTTATTAGTATTTAATTTCTATTTTTAATTAAATTTTTTAGACTGGGAGAGTTTTAAAATAGTTATAGGCCAGGGTCACATAAAAAAAATTCTTGGGACTAACTTAAAAAAATTTAAAAGGACTTTAGCTTCTATTATATTGGATTAAATTAAGCCACTTAACAAATGTCTTATGAGGTTTTATACTCATACATTGAACCATTTAAATATTAGAAAATAATAATATTCAAACCATAAATTGGGTTCTTTTTCATATATTTTAATAAAATGTTCTTACCAAGTTAAGAATTCTATTTCTATATTAAGGATAACTGATTTACCATGTTGACTTAACTAATGCTAAACGATAACACTACCTGTCAAATAGACAATACACATACATTTCAATACACTCTTGGTGCCAATAATATAAAAAGACACATATTATTTTATAGAAATAATGTAAACCAACATGCGATTTAATTCCTTTTAAGTTTCACAGACTTGAAGACAATTATTTCAAAAGGTTTGTGGATTAGGGTAATATATTTGTCGAATTTATCCTTTAATATTACTCTTTAAAACTTAAAGAATTATCCTAAATATAATTTTTTTTAAATATCTGTATCTCAAAGATAATGTGTTAAAAAATATATATTAGAGTATTTAATTATAAATATTTTTTTTAAATTTAAATAAAAAATTTAATCCGAGTTTAGACATTTCAATTGGCAGTCATATAGCAATCTGCAAAACAAACAACTACCATATTTATTAAAATCTTGATGCATCTATCAAAACCCCTTATAACTATCAAAGATAAATGAAAAAATTTTTAAGTCACCCAACATGAACAATAAGAAAATTATTAAAAAATGTAAATGCCACAAATTTATGTGACTTTACAGACTCGTCATCTAATTTCGTAAAGCATTTAAACAAAAGAATATATAATTTCTTTATTCCCAAATTATATTCTCTTCTCGATCGTCTGCGGAAATTGAACAAGATTAACTTTTAAGTTATAAGAAACTATTAGTGATTAAATACAATCAAAGACCACACTAATTCTTAGAATAACTAATAATTTTAATCAATTATTTTCTAGATTTCCCTAGTCCTCATATCATTTACACTTAATTTGATATAAATATTTAATCACAATTGCATATTATTTTAAAAACTACAAATAATCATCAAGAAACATTAAATTACTTTAATGCATTTAAATCATCAAAATAATTAATCTTTTTTTTCTTCTCAAACAAGAAAATATTTTTATTTTATATAAATTATATATTAAAAATTACAAATTTATATTCCATTAAAATAATAGAAATAAAATAATCTTATATTTAAAAATAAAACAATTAAATACCTCCCTCATACATATAACAACCAAACTAAAAAAATTCATTTTGCCAATATATGTATTAATATACAATATACTCAGAGTTGGGCAGTACCGCGAATACTTGTATCTAAGATACAAGATCCTTTTGTATCTTGTACTCAGTATCTAATTGGCATTTTTAATAAGATACTAGTATCTGTATCTAAGTTCCTTTATTTTGAAAAGAATCTTGTATCTTTTTCATTTTCTTTAAAAAGATTAGTATCTGTATCTAAGATCCTTTATTTTGAAAAGAATCTTGTATCTTTTTCATTTTCTTTAAAAAGATACAGATTCTTTTTAATATTCTTGTTTAAAACATTTACATATCACACAATGTAACTTTATTTTATTCGTGAAATCTTGTATTATTTTCTTTATTTTTTCCCACTATATTTTAAATATATTGATAACCAAATTAGTTGGAAATGTTATAGGTCACAAAGATAGATAAATTAAAAATAACAACACCAAAACTAAATAAGAGAAGGATATATTTTATATGTAATATTTTTTAATTTGTAAAATGTTTAACAATCATGGTAGTGAAGATGAAATTATGGAGATGGGTTCTCCTGAATCAAATCCGAATCTTAAAATTCTAGATGGAAAATTTTATAAAATTCATGTGAAAAAGAACAAGGTACAAGCTGAATGTCAAAATTGCACAAGTAAAAAAGTTATTAAAGGTTCAACAAACTCCTTTACAAACTTTGTTAAACATATTAAAGTATTTTATATTTTTATTTTATAATTATCAACATAATAATACCTATACTTAAGTCCCTCTTAGATAATTGTTATTAAAATTTTTTATAGAAGATGGTTGATTACAAATTAAAATCATTTTGGATATATATTTTTTAGGGGTGTGTCGATACCACTTTTTGGAGGCCGATCCGATATTCCCGATATTAAATTGATATCGGCCGATTACAGATCCGATATCATATCTAATTTTGTATTCTCTAAAGATACCAATGCTTTTAATTTTTAATATAATTTATTAGTATAACATCTATAATTTAGCTATACCATAACTTATGTCATTTAAATATATTATAATGATGAGTTATAGTTTATATTCAATTCAATTGCAATTCTAAAAGTATATAAAATATTTTTATTATTAAATCACTTTTTATAATAAATAATAACATTAATCTATATACATAATAAGTAATAAACAATTATATTATGAAATTTGAAATAAATATTTAAAATAATATTTAACATTAATATAACGAAGATTTCTTTTTAGAAATACCAATATTTCCAATTTATCAGAGGTCAGCTTGCGGCAATAATAACTGTCAATATCACCAGCTTCACTAAAAACAGATTCTGAAGAGAATCTCGCACACCTTTATAAACAGAATGCGCAAAAAAATAACAATATGGCAGAATATTTATTAATTAATTATTAAACATAATAATTTTCTTTAATGCATTTAAATTGATTAAATTTTGTAAATAAATACTGTAATGTAATTTTACTTATATCATAAATAAATAAAAGTAACTAATAAAGTTAAATTCTACCTTATTATAATTATTTTATTAAGAGCCTTTTAAAATTATCTAATATTTTTATATATCAATCGTATCTTAAATATTTTCTCTAATAAGAACTTGCTAAAATAATTATATATAAAATATATTAGGGATGTGCTGATTTTTTTATCGGATCGGATCGGGCCGGTTTCACCCATTTTAAAATATCGGTTATCCGCCAATATTATAAAATTTGATCCGATATAAAATGGCTTCTTTAACAAAAATAAAATGTTATAAAATTTTTAAAAAAATTATATATAAAATCATTTATTTTTATAAATAAAATCGAAATCCATTTTTATGTATATTTTTTTAATAATAATTATGTATTTAATAATTATAATATAAAGTTGTACATTATTATGATATTTTTTATATATAATTAATGATTTTGCAAGAAATATATAAAAAAAATTTGAAAAGAGATTTAAATGATATTTATATATATGATATTACAAACGCAAGAATTAACAAGTCATATTAGAAAATAAACTAATTTAAATAATACATAAAAATCACAAATAAGTAATGATAAATACTTATTAAAGATAATGAATAAAATAAAACTAGTATATTTTTTTTAGAGATGCCATTTAGCCATATACTCCGAATATAAGCTATATTTAAAACAACACAGAAAATAACCTGCAAATTCTAATAAATCATTTGATTTAATTTTTTTTTCTTATTTGCAAATTTTCAACTCCCATTAAATATACTACTCTCTTTTCCCTGTTTAAGCGATTAATGGGCAAAAACTAATATTAAAATCCCTGGTTATTATAATTAATTTATTAATAAATATTTTATATTCTTATATGTGTATGCTATGTTCTTCACAAATAAATAATAAAAACGGTATTTTATAAACTATTCTAATTTAATTGGTATTTATAATTTAAAATTGTATTTAAGATACTCTAATTTAGTAAAAGATACAAGTATCTTTTATCTTGTATCTTTTTGATATTTTGAAAAAGATACTATTATCTGTATCTAAGATTCATTTTTTTATAAAGAATCTGTATCTGTATCTAGATTCTTTTTCTGGAGGACCTGCCCAACTCTGAATATACTAATAATAAATATTTAATAATTCCAACTAATTTAATAAAATTTACCCTATAATCTTCAATTTAAAATAGTCTGCTTTATCTCAATATCTATTATAATCTCAAATTAAATTGTAATCTTTTCTTATAATAAAAACGAAATAAAAAATATACAATTTTCTTTTATGCTGAATCTATAAAAAGGTACCGTAATCCGTCTTTAATTAAAAGGACCCTGACAGCAGGGTAAATTACTGCCAATCGATGGATGCAAATTTACTGCACTAGAGAGGCCCTTTAAAGAGCGGCGGAAGCCACTAAATTGTAAGTTTCCTAAGTGAACGACACGATATAACTTTACTAAAAATCGCATTTACAATGATATTCATTTCACATTCAATATCACGCATCCATTATCTAATTGATTTATTTGTTTTTTAATAATATGCAAGTATCTTATTGAAATTTTATTAAGTATCTAGTGTCTTAAATGCAAAATTTTAAAAAACATCTGTATTCGGCCATAATTTTCTGAAAATTTGCCCAACCCTGCTCGCTCTGAGACCCGGTTTATGATGTAATATTCAATAGTTCAACAACTTTGAGGCTCAAGAAAGGGCTAAAATGACTTTAAAAATATATAGTAATTACAAATGCAAAAAGCTCAAATTATAGCGCGCATTTATTTATTGACATGAATGAGAATTAAAATATATATCCCTAGTAGAATCTAAAAATTTCAACTCATTAATATTTATTTTTGTATAAACAGAAAAATCCGAAACGTTTAATATTTTTTTCCTCATGCATACAAGAAACCGACCCATTCTACTTCCTATGATCGAATGGTAATCACAATTCTCAAGTTCGAATAAATGATGAAACGGTAAAATCTGTTTTTTGATTTTAGAAATTATATCCGAATTCAAACTATCATAATTTTTAATATCTTCCATAACAAACGGGAGCCAAAACACTAATCTTCCACCCGGATTTAAAACGTTTAATGCGATATCCAACAAACTTTTGTAAATATAGCTCAAATTATATTCCTCCTGATCTAGACTCGAGCTATTTAAAGTATCAGATCCAGTTTGATTAAAATTTTTAGAGCAGCTCTCTCTAATCCCATATGGAGGATCTGTTATTATTGCATCAAATAATTGATTTCGAAATAAGGGAAGTGTGGAATCGGATAAGACAACGTCTAGATAATATCGCTCAAGATCATATTGCTTAAAATTATTCCAAATATTTTCATCTTTTGTCTTCCATTTTTGACCATATCTACTAGATTTTCCTAAATATATTTTTTAATTTACAATTAAACCGTAAAGTTCAAAAACCCCTAGAACCATGATTTTCTAAAGCGAATGACTCTAAAAAATAGTTCTGGGTCGATAACCTTTTCATTATAAAGGTATTTGGTAACAAAAATTTAATTTATTGTAAGGTAAGATCATAAAATTCATAATCTAATTTTAAATTTGTGGCCATTAAATTATTAGTGTTGTTAAACGGCTCATTTTGAGCCGATTTTTAAAAACGGCTAACACAGTATTTTATTCAGAAAAATTTATGCAAGCCTGAAAATGTTGTACATAGAAGGAGCAAAGCTCTAGACTAGTGTTGATAAAGCGCTCATTTTGAGCCGATTTTTAAAAACGGCTAACTCAATATTTTAGCCAGAAAAATATTGCCTAAACCTCGAGATTTCGTTAATGTATGCCTAGACCTTTGTTCCTTCTATAAGCAAAATCTTCAGACTTGTGTAAGATTTTTTGGATGAAATATTGCGTTAGCCGTTTTTGAAAATCGGCTCAAAATGAGCCGTTTAACAACACTGGTCTAGACATATATATCGAAATTTCGAGGCTTAATCAATATTTTTCTGGCGAAAATATTAATTTAGCCGTTTTTAAAAATCGGCTCAAAACGAGCCGTTTAACAACATTATAAATTATTATCTATATTTGTTATTGTTTCTGAATTAGACGGCCCTTCTCTTCGGACTTGGTCGTGATTAATTTTTTCACCTGGCCTGATTTTTTATCCGACCGGACTTCTACAAAAATTTTAATTATTTTTTTGTTTCTTTAATGCTTTTATAGATGTATGTTAGTGGCAATGTGTTATTTTTTCAATTTTACATTTACTGAGCACGTTTTTTTTAAATTTATAAATCTGATTTTACCATAAATGTATTTTAGCATATACCTAACTTATGAATCTTAGACAATTTTACCGTTAAATTTTGAGTCATTTATAATTTGTATAAAAACTCTATGCAAAAACCAATAAAAATAATATTAGATTCAAAAGTTCATGGCAAAATTGTCTTAAATTCATAGGATTATTCTAAACATGCTGGAATAGATTTCCGGTAAGGTCAGATTGTTAAATCATAAAAGATGCACTCAAAAAATGATTTAAAGTTGAAAAAATAACATATTGCCGGAAAAAACACATTGTCGCTAACATACATTAAGGTCTTAAAACCCCAAAAATATTTATATTTTTTAAGAGTTTTCCTATAAATATATCGTTTATTTTTTTTATAATTCCTCATTATCTTTAGGTCATATTTTAGTTTAAATAATATCTACTAAAAATAATATTTCGGGCTAGATCGGACTTTCGAAAAAAAACGGATTTTAAAAAACAGAACAAGAGGACTCTCTATATCATAACTGTTTAGACTTTAGAGAAATCCGATCTATGTTTTATTGACTCGGGTTTAAAAAAATTTTAAAACTTAGTGCATTTATAGCGCGCGTTATGTAATGACCAAATTTTGTCAGAAAAGTATTTCAACATATATCGGAGTATATGCGAGAGGTCGATGTAGCCTAGCCTGCAGGTTTGGGAAATTTTTGGGCGGGACCAATAAAATTGCTCATGATATTTTTACGAGCATGAAATTTTGAAATAATTTTAAAGCTGATTATTCGGCAAATCAAGGTCGTTTTCCTACATAAAAAATTATTATGAGTTGAGCCGGAAAACTTGTAAAAAATATTTTTTTACCATCCAGGCTAGATAAATCTAATTATGGGACGAGCCGAAATATCAGAAACAAATTTCCATGGGAGGGCCCGTCGCCTTCTAGTATAAATCCTGTCTATTTTAGACATTTTCGCAAATAATTTTTGCCTTTAAAAAAAATTGTATGAAAAATCTTTAAATTCAAATTAATAAAAAGCAGTAGTTGCCTGAAATCGGTGTGTAGGCCTAGGCACTATATAAATGATGAAGTATAATTCCGGCTTAATCTTTCAAAATTAAATAAAACCCGCGATATAATTGTAAGTTTTAAAAATTTCCTAAAAAAACCCGACTTACTAAACTCCTACAATAATATAATATTGAAAATAAATTGATGAAAATAATGAGTAAATTTAAAAAAACTAAAAACCTGTAGCATATAACATCTTTTTTTCGATATCGATACCGGATACATATGCTTCGTGGTATGCCGCGCTCAATATCAAACTACCTTTACAATATAATATTGATCGTTTAAATAAAAAATAAGTTACCGCTTCCAACAAATGGATCTAAAACTAAATCCGTAGCAGTTATTTGAGCTATATTAGTGAGCAAAAATGATAGCTTAGGATCCATACTCGTATTACCTATATATTTACGATCGGAGAGTTTAAAATTTGAAGCTATTGCTCTCAGGCCATTGGATAACTTAATATAAATAAAACGAGATCAACTTCATATAATTTGAAAGGTAATTTACCCATCGACCAAAATATAAGTGAGCATTATAATCGTCTATCGTTTGTGATTTTTCATCGTAATATTCTAACCATATAAAAACTTGTTCAGGATCATTTAATTTGACGCGACCTTCGAATGGTAAAAATGAGAGCATCTAAAATATAATATGATTAAATTATATTTAAACAATAGTAAAATTGTACACATCCTTATTTAATACTCTAAACTTTATCTTAAAACATACATAGAAGGATTTTTCATTTCAGTAAAGAGGACAAAAACGTGAAGGGAGAATCCTCTTTTAAAAATTAAATAAAAACTTCTGAATTTTAACTAATGTTTCATAGTAATTCAATTTTAATGACTCAGAGTTTGAAATACTCTTCAAAATAAAAAATCATCAATGATTTTTTAAATGCAGATATTTTGAGAATGCTCAGACAGAATTTTTGATTAACCCTTTCGCGCCCATGGATAACTTTTGGAATTATAATTTTTCAATAGTAATTTATATGCATTAAAAATGGCCACTGATAACTTTTTAAATCATATTTTTAATTTTTAATATTTGCTCTTTCGTATTTTATCACTAATTCTTTTGTTTCATATGTTATTATATCATATTATAGTTTTAAAAAATCAATTTTTTCTTACCATTTTCGCGCCAAAATTTTAATTCATATTTTCGGTTATCAAAACTTGCTAAAAATATAAGTAATAATTTTATTATTAATATATATATACATACATACATTAATATTTTTATATAAAAAATATCATCTTTTTAAACATTTTAGGTGCTGGAATTTGAGCATAATGCCATTTGGCATCAATGGTCATTTCTTATGCACTAAAATATTTTTTTATCAATAAATGGGAATTTTAGTCAAATTATTTAGGATATTTAGATTTAGGGTTAAAACGGAAGTGGAGGGGGGTAATCAGATTATATTTTGATAATAGTTAACGGTATTGATTATTTAATGTCTAATAGTATTCTTGGATATAAGGAGAAGTCCTAATAAATATTTTATATATATAACATGTAATAATATGAGATACTTTTTAATCACTATGCATTTAGATATGACTACACTTATCCCCAAGGGTGATATTTCTGAAGCTGATATAGAGAGCTCAGATGAAGAAGACAATTATTATCCTTTGCTAGGAGATGATTTGCCAACCTCATCTTATATTACAAATGAACTAGGTCTTGAATTGGAGGATATAATCGAAAATACTACTATAACTAAAATAAAAGATAACCCTCTTTAGTCTAAGAAAGACATTGGAAACATGAATACAGAATTTACTCCTATGATGGAAATTCCTGAACCAGATTCAACTCCTCTAATCTATTTTCGTAAATTTTTGGACAACCAAATGATCAGCAATTTTGTATCAGAAACAAATATTTATTCCTTCCAATGTTGTGGAAAATCTATAAATACTGATAGCAATGAAATCGAAAAATTTATTGGAATACATTTGTATACTAGCTTAGTAAAGATGCCTTCTATACGGCAGTATTGGTCGGTTGAGACATCTATTCAACGTATCAGAAACTATGTCCCCCAATCGTTTTCTTTTGATCCGAAAATTTTTCCATATTAATAATAACAAAAATATGGTAAATAGAGAAGACAAAGGTTACGACAAATTATTGAAAATTCAACCTTTCATATGCCAGCTAAAAAATTCAAAAAAAAATCAACTCGAAGAGAAATTCCTTTCAATAGGCGCTCTAAATTAAGGCAATACATTAAATCAAAGCCTTATAAATGGGGGATAAAAGAGCTTGCCCTATGTGGCTATTCTGGATTTATGTATGATTATCTGCAAATGGCAGGACAACAAAGCTGTTATTACAATATCTAATTTTATAGGTGTTTTACCTATGACCAAAATTAAACGATGGTCTGTATCGGACAAAACCTTTATAAATGTAGAAATGCCCGCTATAATTAAAAACTATGAGGGAATGAGTGGAGTAGATCTTCACGATATGCTGGTGGAGTTATATAGGACAGATATTAAATGGAAAAGATATTAAATGCGAATGGTTTTCCATTTATTGGATTCTTGTGTAATAAATTCATGGCTCCTTTATAGACGCCATATGAAAGCAAATAATATCAAATTTATGACATTATTGGTACTTAAAACTCAAATAGCAAAAGGGCTGATGCTAGCAGGAAAGGATAATAACAAAAAGACTGGAAGACCTTCCAGTATAGTTGTAAGGAGAAGAAAAGCCATAAATATTGTCCCCATGATATAAGATATGACCAAGTAGGTCATTTGCCAAAGTCCGTAACAATTAAACAAAGGTGCAAGTATTGCGTAGATGCATATTCAAGAATTATGTGTCAAAAGTGTAATATTTATTTATGTTTAAATAATAAACGAAATTGTTATTTGTCATTTCATATGAAATAAAATATTTTTTTAAATGAACTTGCATTTTGCCCATTGATGACATTTGGAATCATTGAATATTTTTTGATAGAAATACTCGAAATAAGTTTTTTTGATAAAAATGTGTTATTTGTGTCTATAATAAGTATCTCTTAAAAAAAAATTTTTCATCGAGGGAAAAAAAGTCGGGCATGAAAGAGTTAAGATTTATTAAATTTTTAAATCTTGTAATTTTTATGCATAAAAAATTTTTCATAAAATATTAAAAGAGTACATAAATACAGAAAATTAACAAAATTTAAATGATAATTTAAACTTTGGGAAAAAATGTTTAAATCTTTATCAAAATGCAATGTTCCAAATCAGGTTTCCACTCATATTATGGCATGATTATATTCTATTATATCATATTTTAATATAAATTAACACACACTCACATCTTACTAACTTTGTTTAAAATTCAAATTGCAAGTTTAATATGTATTTTTTTGACAATTTTTAACAAAAAATTTCACCATTGTTTCCCTGTGATTATCGTATTTTTTTAGGTATAGCAAGATCGCTTTAAACAATTATTATTTTATACCTAATTGTTTATATTTTTCTCTGCAAGGCAAGAAAGAACGTAGCAACTATTAATTTTCAAAGAATAACATTAGATAATAAATTAAATAGTTTTTGATGATAAATATCCTATGCAAGGCAAGAAATTATTGGATAACAAAAAAATTAATCACCTAGATTTATAATCAGATCCCTCTTTAAATTGGTTATATAATATTTATCATTATAAATTTAAAACTAACCTTCAATAGAAAGAGGGAATTGGATTTCTTGGTTGTAAAATTCTATATTTTGGGGATACTCTGAACCTTTTGGATTATGGATTATTTAATGTGTATATATTATTAAAATAAAATTGGAAGCCTTCGGTTTTTAAAACCTCAGTGTCCGTAATTTTTTGCTGAGATGTGAACAGAAATTACAGGTGCATTTAAATCATGTGAGAGGATAATTATAAAATTCATAATTGGAAACATTATAAACCAATATTATGTTCTACAGAAGTTATTATTTATATACCTTATTTATATGTTCTTTTAATATAAATTGCACAAGTTATTAAATTTTAATTTAACCTCCATTTTGTCCAACTTTTCTTCTTGTGAAATTGTTTGCCCAAAACAATGGAATTTGAATTTAAAATTTGAGTGTCTGTATTTTTCCTTTATTTTATTATGATAAATATATGAGACAAATAAAAAAATTGATAGTAACAAACCAAATAAAAGCAAACATGAGGGTAGGCTTTCTAAATCATAATCAACTAAATTTTACTTAATTTATTAATTCTTTCCAAAACCTTTATTGAAATTTTTACTGAACGATAGGAAAATAATTTTCGCACACCCCTTTAGATTTTGGTAAATTTGGTATGTAACAAAATGAAGAATAGGCGAAGAGCCCCAGGAAAAATTGGAACAATATCTATGGAAAATAAAAATTCAAATTAAAAATCAATTTTATTTAGTGGGAAATCCATGTATAGATAAAATCTAGTATAATTTATAGCTTAATTTGTATTCAAATTAAAAATCAATTTTATTTAGTGGGAAATCCATGTATAGATAAAATCTAGTATAATTTATAGCTTAATTTGTATTTTTTTCTGTAAGTAAAGGCCTGGAAAAAACCAATTCCTTTGATCCAACTCAACCTGTAGGAGGAAAATAAATTTTCCAACATAAAATTAATTGCATATTACCAACCCAATCCAACCATAAAATCAAATTTATTTTCTAGTATGTTATAAGAAATAATTGTAATCTGTATAAAATTGTAAAAAATATATCATCCTATCCAAAACCATCCAAAAAATAAAATAATTGCATTTTTTGGTTGGGAATATTTTCATTTTATACTGGTAAAATCCTGATTTAAAACTATATATCATAAATTATAGAAATACAAGATCCTATTTTTTTTAAATTCACTTAAAGCTCATATAGCAGAAATTTCATTTTCATTATTTTTTTTTAAAAAATGGTACTAAATTTACTGCAAATACGATTCAATAATTAAATCATGCACCAAAATGACATGTAAACAGATGCACCAGTAATTCTTAAAATCAAAATGCTATTAAGCTTAAATTTTGCTTGTTCAAATTAGGGTTGTGCCGATATTAAATATCAAATTGGCAATTTATATTTAGCTTTTTCAGGAAATTTAAAATTTGGACAAAATTTTTAAAAAAAGTTATCTAATCCAATAGTTTTATTGCTCTGGGTTATTTTGTGATTGTATAAATAAATATATAATCTTTTTCATTTAAATTTTTTACATAATAAATCAATAAAGGGAATTAAAAAACAATTTATTTGTTGTAATTTTTTAAGTTAAAAATTTTGCAATACTTTTTGTTTGACTTAATCTGCAACAAGAAAAGGATTTTAAACATTTAAAGTGTTCTTATAGACTCAATTTCACAAATTTTTAAAAGCAGTTAACTCATAATTTGTCAAAAGTAAATTACAATTGATTTTTCTCAATATGGCATAAAAGTTTGGACTTTTATTGGCAAAATTTTGAGGTTTAGGTAATATTATTTATTTACTTTCGATCAGTTTAAAAAAAATTAAATACACTTAATCATTTGTGAAAATTAATTAGTTTTTTTTAAAAAATAGAAAATATTGATATTTTTATAACATTGGTTTAAAGATAGATGGTAAAGAAAAATTGTTATGAATCTCGGATTGATATCAGTACAGTGTTTTAGTAATATCACATCAAATCAGTGAAAGATTTGTAAATTGGCATAGCCCTAATTACAAATATAATCTTCACACAAATTTTATAATTGTAGGGTTCACCAGAAGATGTTCCTTTTATTTTTTCTAATGGAATTATTCATTTTAAAAAAAAATATCTTAAAATTTATATTAAAAATGAACTAATTAAGAGTGAGCTATTTTTAATACAACTGAGCCCAGAGAGCTAACATATCTAATACAACTTAATCAAAAAATAAGTTATAATTAATATGCATAACTTTTAAAATTTATTATAATTAATAATTTAAATTTACATAAAAGGATATAGGATATGATTTAAGCTTGAGAACAAGTAGGTCAGAACTAGAAGAATTTGCCCAATATTCAAGAAGATACCTAAATTTTAGTAAATACAAAATAAAATAATCATGGCATTAAAAACTTTATCAATATTGATCGTTTAACAATATTAACCATTGAGGCTTTGTCACAACTTTCAACAATAATAAATGGATTCTTATATTTTTATAATAATATAAAAATATATATAATAAACTTTAGTTTTAAAATCATTTATGGAATATTGAACATTGTTTCCAAATAATGAATTGAGTGCTTTAAACTCCTAATAAAATTATTTTATATTTTATTCAAAATATTTCTTACTGTCAGCCTAAATTCTAAATATTCATTTGCGTATACTAAGATATATTTGACCAGAACTTTAATCATTGCATTTAAAAAAATTTATCAGAAAATAATGCTATTTATCCTAATCCTTATCTAGCACGTTGGTCATAGACCTGCCTAAAGTAAGCGAACGATATTATGAGGGCCCATCCAGTTGTAATTTAACAAAAATGAGTGGAACTTACCCTTCCCGATTTCGTAATAGTAAGATTTAGAAATATAAATTTAGTGATCTTATCTATTTTTGAATCCATAGAATAACCACATCAATATGTAGAATGAGTTAAGAATGTATCCATAGAATTACCACATCAATAATATATAATGAATAGAATATATAGTAGTTTCCATTTCATCGTTAATTTTTAATTCATTGAGTCTACAAATAAACATATGATTAAATAAAATTAAATATTAATTCAAAATACAGTACAACTACTTATCAATAATACTAGATCAATTAATAACACTTGTTAAGTCTTCCAAAAATTATTGCACCGGATGAATACCAGAGAATATCCAATTCAAATGGAAAGCTTTGCTATGCCGCCACATTTTGGCCGAGGGTAGGTGCAACCCAGATGAATTATTATAGCCATTATGTACTTGCGAATCTCATGTTATAAAAAGGGATCAATTGGAGAGGGTTTGGAATGCTGGCATTAATTAAGTTAATATATAAATTTATTCACATTGAATATGTCTTCAATATATAAATCGGTCATGTTGATTAATAGCCCGTTGGGTCGATTTTGGACTACCCGATTAAAATTTTAACCTAAATACTATTATATAAGACTGGAAATGTTGCTCATATATTATAAAAAGGTTTTGATTTCTACTTGCCAAATTTCTGGGTTTTCATAATACTAATTTGGCCAAAATTTTAAACGGGCCATTTTAAATAATCGGGGTTTTTAACAGGCCATGACTGCTACTCCGTGATATTTAGTGAAAAAACTAAATATCACATCTGCGATATTTAGTGAAAATATTAAATATCACACCCTAATCTCGTTTATTAAATATGTTTAACACCATGTGCCCACGATATTTAAAATCATCCATTTTATAAAAAAATATATTTTTTAAGTTATTTATGTATTATGTTTATATTTCAATAATTAACCAATTCACAATATAATTTTTTTTATATATTAAATTTAAATATTCTCTGTGTAATGTTTCATAATTAACCCAGCATTCAAATTTAAATAATAAATATTCACTGGTTAGAGCAAAATATTTTTTGATTCCACTTCTCTACTCCCATAAATTTGCTTATGGAAGGCACAATCAGAAAAAGCACAAAATTAAACAATTTTTTTTAAATCTAATAATTAAACATGACATGAAGATATTTTATGCTATTCTAAATACTTTTTCAGTTGAATTCAGTTCAAATGTTATAAATTTTATAAGCTAATTTCTGGCTTAGTTAATAGCTTTTATTATATATTACATAAATATCTTACTTCATGATGGAAACTTTAATTCTATATTAAGTTATGCAATGAACTATATTTTTAATCATTATTGTATAAAGTCTGTTGACACCAAGATGAGGTAGATAAGGTTGATCTAATTATAAGTGATGGAAACTGTTTTTTCAGGTATTTTATTATTAACAACTTATAGAATCTATTCTATATATTATTATAGATGTCTTAGCAAGGAAATCAGCAATGTTGAGCAACATCATGAAATGATCAGGACTGTTTGATATTTTATATGCTTCAAGAAAAACATCAACTACTTTAGTGGATTTATAGGGGATAACACAATTGATTACATTGTGAAAAACATAATGACTGCAATGGCACAGGGCTACAAATATTAAAATTTCCTGTGCTGCTACATTGCATCAAGCAAATACCTTTGTTTTTTAAAATGACAAATGGCTTTTATTTCATTCATGATTTATTATTCCTGAAATAAAGAATTTATTGGTTGTATATATATATATTTTTTTCTTTTTAACTTTCACCTTTTCTGGTGGAAGCTCCTTCACTTATTTATTCTTGCCATTTATTTTTATCTTTGTATTTCTGAACGATTTCACTTGTATCGATCACCGGTGTATCACGAGGCCAAAGTATCTTGATCTCCCCCATCGGTGCATCAAATCAATATCGACCAGATATCCCACCGGTGCATCAAATCAATATCGACCAGACCCACCTGAGTATTCCTCACACTGAATTATTAAATCGACAGATATTCCAATCCTGATCTCTCCCACTGGTATCAATACCGATGGATCTCCCACCAGAGTATCGTTATCAACTCCATTGTGACTTGGTTAGTGTTGTTAAATAGTCGAGTTTTTACGACTCTGAACTCAAGTTGATGTCACAAAACTCATTTCAAATTGAGCGGCTCAATGAGCCGCATGTCGGCTTCAGAGTCGGAAAAAATTTATTTGGAAACCGCCTGCTATTATTATTTACTCCACGATAAAATATTTAAAAAATTACCATTATGGTTCGAGAATTTAAATATTTTAAAATGTATAGTGTTAATTTGCTTGGTCGTAAAATTTACAACCAAATTATGGGCTCAGAGCATTAAAATCTAACAATCATTTATCTTAATTATATATATTTGTATATAGATGCGATATCAGCTCAATAAATTTTTTAAGTCAGTTTCTGCATTGATATTCAATAGTTGATGTATCGGTATGTAGATACGTTTTTTATAAATATGGTTAACTCAGTATTTTATCCATCAAAAATATTATGCAAGTCTGAAGATTTTGCTCATAACTAGAAATCTCAAGCTAGGTAATTTTTTTGGAAAATATTTAGTTCACTATTTTTAAAAATAAACTCAAATGGGGATATTTTGCATCACTGATATATTTATATCCATTTTTAGACGATGAATCTGGAACCATTTAGAAAGTATAGGGTAGCATAAAAAATTGTATTCCTATTAGGGATCTGTAAAACACCACCTGGCCCGGGTATATTTTCTAGTGTTGTTAAACGGCTCAATTTGAGCCGATTTTTAAAAACGGCTAACTCAATATTTTTTCCAGAAAAATATTATGCAAGCCTAAAGATTTTGCTCATAGATGGCACTGGCACATATTGAACATCTTTTAGGGAAATCTCGACGCTTAGGCAATATTTTCCTCGCTATAATGTTGAGTTAGCCGTTTTTAAAAATAGGCTCAAATCGAGACGTTTAACAACACTAATATTTTTATATAATGTTGGTTCGGGCTGGGTATAATATTTTTTAAATTTTCGGGCCCGGTATAATTTTTAAATGATATCATTATATTAAATTGATATACTTTTAAATTCTTCCTGGTAAATTTAAACATAAAATAATCGGATTTTAGTTTTTATGCTATTATTCAAGTTATTGCCCACTAAAAAATAAAATACTTTATATTTGGTATAATATAAGATTTAATACATACTAGAGGAAACTAGGGTTAGGTAAACCCCGGGGTTTGGCAATCCAGTTAATCTCATTTTAAAATTAAGTACACCAGAAGGTTAAAATTTTATCCTAATATAATTTTTATTAGTTTACATCTATAGACAAAAAATCTTTTTAAATAATTAATTATTAAAAATTTTATTTAAGAAATAAAATTTCTCTTGAAAAGGCAATTTCAGGCTGTTTATGATTGGTATTTAGGATTTATAATAGGAAATCATAATCTCTCCTTAAGATCCTTATTTTTTTATATCCAAATCATCAAATTAACCAAAATTAAGTTTCAATTTTTATATATGATTAGCTTCAATTATATTTTGAACGATAAAACTATTCTAAACATTTCAATTTATTATGGCCTAAAAAACTAATGGTTAAGGAAGCCTCTTGAAGTGGTTTCTCACCCCGCTGGGGCTTGTTGGGCAAAATTTTCACTTTTACAAAAAATAAAATTTAAAAAAAATGATTATATTCTTAAAATATTTCATAAGGCATCTTTATAGAGCATAGTTTTAAGTGTCTATTCATATATTATTTATATTATCTAAAAAAAACAGGGGTTATAGCCAATTTTGTAAAAATCGATTCGACTAAACCCAATCTCTCTTACTTATATTTAAAGTGTAATAACTGTTGGTCCACTCTAGGAATTTCTACAAATATTAGGTAGAGTGTATGTCAAAAAAATTTAAAGTAAAAAAAGATCAATTTTTATTTTATAGAGCCATTTAGGCTTATTTTCAATAAAGTAAATTATATAATATTAAAGGGCTATGTAATATCAAAAATACATTATGATTATAATTAAAAATTAATCTTATCTTATCTAGCACGTAGGTCATGGGCATATGAATTATATGTAGGCCCGCCCTCCATATAATTATGCCGTTCTCAAGGGTATCAACAAACCTTGTAACTTAGATGTGTTTTATAATAATGAGTGGAACTACACCCTATCTAATTTAAAATAAAGAAGAACAAGATTTTTTCTTGTTTTATATCATATCACAAAATTATCAAAATATAGTATATCTTACACTTAACTAAACCCCATCGAAAATTTTTTTGGCCATTTGAAAAATCAATATCGCTCTATATATCCCAAACAAAATAACGGAATCCATAAAATCGAGGCAATTACTAGCTTTTTGCTAAATTTCACTAATTATGATTTCACAGCCTTCTATTCACATACGATACGATAGATCGAAGAGGGAATCCGATCTATTCTTTTGAACAATTAATTTAAAAGATAATTACACAAGATTATTATATAATGTAGATATATTTTTTCTTTATATTATGTGCAATGCAATACGAATAGTAAATTTTATATTTTTTGATCTTTTATATAAATAAAATAAAGGTTTCACAAGTCATTCTCGAAACTAATATAAGAAAGGTAACTTTATAGAAAATAATATTAACAATGAAAAATAAGTTAAAAAATAATCATAATTTGACCTTAAGCTTTGCCCGAAAAGAAATTTATTTTTTCTCCAAATTTGGGTATCAAACTGGGAACATGGAGATGGAGGATATTTCCTCCATTTTTAGCGATTTTTTTAAAATTTTTAACTTAAATACAAGTCTCCCCTGGCATCTTAATATTAATTTCAAATTTACTTTAAAAAATTTTCTAGGAG